CCCCCCCCCCCCCACCACCCCGTCTCCCTTACGCCCCCCACCCCGGGCACCCTGATGGGATGCCACTTGAAAACTGATTGACTCCTGCCCCCTGCCCGTCCTCAAGTACAGGGCAGCCCTTGATGATTATTGCCCACCTCAGCGCCATCCCTGGGTTACCTTGGAGTCTGTGGGCCAGTTCCCGGGTGAAGAGAATGTTGGCCAATTTGCTCTGGCAGTGAGCGACAAGGGGATCATAGCACTCCTTCATGTTGATGTCATTGAAACGAATCTTTCCTGTAGGGTGGCACAGAAAGAGGGTAAAAGGATGGTGCCCGCTTCCCACAGCTCAGACCTGCCCCCTCTCCTGACCCTCCGACGACTCCCGCTCCCCGGGCCCTGCCCCGGCCTCCCCACTTATTCCCGACCGAGCCCCCGTTGCCCCCCTTGTCATTTGGTTGGCGCGTGTGCCCGTTGCGTCTGCCCAGGTTGGGCTCTCTTTGAGCCATCAGCTCAGGCCCGACCCCAAGTGTCGTGCTGTGCCAAGGTCAGCGGACTTGGTTCCGTTTGAGGGATGGTTAGATGTCTATTCCTCCAAATCGAGGCCTAGTTATAGGTTTTTCTTTCAAAGCTTAACCTGGATCCGTGTTAAAAACTTTCCACCTGCGAATGAAGGGTGACTTGGTGATGGGATCTTTTCTCCCCCAGGCCCCAGACTGGATTCAGGCCTCTCCTCAAGGACAGCCTGGCGAGGTCTCAAATCCAGCCTTCCCTTCAAGTCCCAGCCTGGATTTAGGCCTTTTCTCAATGGCAGCCTGTGTGTAGGCCTCAGATCCACTCTGGTCTCCTTTTCTTTAAAGCCCAGCCTAGATTTGGGCCTCTCCTCTATGGCAGCCTATGTGTAGGCCTTAGGTCCAGTCTGGTTGCCTTTTCTTTAAAGCCCAACTTAGATTTGGGCTTCTCCTCTATGGCAGCCTATGTGTAGGCCTCAGGTACAGTCTGGTCGCTTTTTCTTTAAAGCCCAGCCTAGATTTGGGCCTCCCCTCAATGGCAGCCTGTGTGTAGGCCTCAGGTCCAGTTTGGTCACTTTTTTTTGAAGCCCAGCCTAGATTTGGGCCCTTCCTCAACATGTAGGCCTCATTTTAAAGGCATTACTATAAGCATCTCCTTAAGGCCCTGTCTTGGATTTCAGGCTTTCCTTCAAGGCACAGCCAGCCTAGGCCTGTCTTTTAAGGTCCAGCCTTTAAGGCCTGAAATAGCTTCACAGAAGCCAGTATCCTGTCACCTATGGAGCGTTCTTAACACCGATCTAATTCCCTCAAAGCCAGGTCTCTCACTGACCAGAATATCTGACATGCTTGTTTATATCTGTCAGCCAGGGCTCCCTAATTGGACCAGGCAACCAGGGGACTCATATTCTTTGAGGTCCACCTGGCTGACCTCATTACAGTCGCTACAGGGCCTTTCCTTCAAAGGTTAACCTGGGAGCCTTCATTTCAAGGCCTGGTTTGGATTCAGGCCTCTCAGAGTAGACAGCCTAGGAGTAGGCCGTATTTGGTTTCAAGGGCCTTTCACAAGCCTTGCCATCAAGACCCAACATGAGATTGGGCCTTTCCTCAAGGCACAGCCTCATAGCCTCTCAGGCCTTGTTTTTGGCAAGGCATTGCCAAAGCCTTTTCTTCTAGGCCCAACTTGACTTCAAGGCCTAAGGCCAACAGGAACGCGGGTGGGTCGCCGGAGGGGAAGGGTGCAGGCGGGCTCTCTCACCAATTCTGTGGGCTCGGCTCGAAACGTTGATGATTCGACTGGGCACGCAGGTCTTGAGATTCTCCAGAAGCAAGATGGTGAGCAGGAAGTGGCCAAAATGGTTGACACCAATCTGCAACTCGAAGCCATCCTCAGTCACCTCCCTCGGTCCAATGGGGGCTCCTGGAGAATGAGGAAGGGAGAGAGTGAGAGAGCGAGGGGCGAGGGGGAGAGGGAGAGAAGGAAAGAGAGAGAGAGAGAGAGAGAGAGTGGGAAAAGGGAGGAGAGCGAGAGAGAGAGAGGAAAGGGAGGGAGAGTGCGGGAGAAGGGAGAGATTGAGAGAGAGAGAGAGGGGTGAGGGGGAGAGAGAGAGAAGGAAAAAGAAAGGGAGAGAGAGTGGGAGAAAGGGGAGAGAGGGAGAGAAGAGGGAGGGAAGATGGAGAGATGTGAACAGAGAGGGAGGGAGGGAGAGGGAGAGAGAGAGGAAGAGACAGGGAAAGAGGGGAGAAAAGGAAAAAGAGAGGAAGAGAGTGTGGGAGAAAAGGGGGAGAGCGACAAGAGGGAGAGGGAGGGAGAGTGAGGGAGAGTGAAGGCGAGGGAGGGAGAGGGAGGAAGAGGGAGAGAGTGGGGGAGAGAAAGGGACAGAGAAGGAAAGGGGAGAGGGAAAGAGGGGGAGAGAGGGAAAGAGAGGGGCAGAGGGACATAGAGAGGGAAAGGGGGGAGACAGAGAGGGTGAAAAAGGAGGAAAGAGAGGGTGAAAAGGGGGAGAGGAAGAGAAGAAGAGAGACAGGAGAGAGGGAAAGAGGGAGGGGGGAGAGGGAGAGTGGGGGTGAGAGGCGGGGG